CTTGCTATGTAGTTCAGGCTGGCCTCCAACTCTCAGCAGTTCTCCTGCTCAGCCTCCCAAGTGCTGGGATTACAGGTATGCACCACCCCACCTAACTGCTTTCTGTATTTTTGTTTATAACAGCAGCAGGAAGAGTGCTCATTTTCCAAAGGATGACTTAGAAATACTGAAGACAATACGAAGTGCTTTTTTGTTGGTGGATGGACTTTCATAATTAACTTGGGGAGACAAAAATAGCACAGCAAAACATAAGGAAAAATGAGGAAATTGGCAAAAGGCTGTGACCAAGGACGGTGACAGAGCTGGAGAGAGCTATGAGGGGACTTCTTCAGTACTCACAGTGTCTTTGTCTTTTTTTTTTTCTCTCCCCGAGAAGTCTGAAATAAGTGTAAAAATGATGACTATCCACAGAGCAATAATCAGTTGCATTCTACCAAGCTAAATTCATTTGCAGTTCTGTGGAAAAGAATCATTTGCATTACTACCAGCTTTCAACAGTTAACTAAGTTATAAAACAACTCAAAAGCAAGGAAAAGTGCAGAAAACCCAAATGGCTTACTAGACAGCACATTCAGAGGTATGGGAGCCCTTTCCAAATCATTAACATTTTTTTCTCATGGTGTCTTTCTTCTTGTGATCATGATAATAGCAAAGATTATGCCCCCCCAAAAGACAGATCATTTATATAAGCATATCGAATGTGTTATTTACTATATATGACTCCTCGAGTTAGTTTTGAAAAACCACATAGTATTTTTTCATTTACAGATATTGTTATATTATTACTATGTAAATTACACATAGGTGGGTTGAATCGCCTATCAGTTTCCCAGTGAACTAGAAGATGTACACTTTGGCTTGAGACATTTTGCTTTGAGTTTTTGGTGGCTGTGATACACCCTAAATACTTTTATAGTATGATAAAATTTTATACCAAAGTAAGTGTAAATTTTAAAATGTTTAGCTTACATCTAGTTATGAAGAATTTAGAGATACTCTGCAAAATGATATGTTTGAGTTGTAAAACATCTTAATCTCAAGAGTGACCAAAACAGGTATGGGAAACTGCTTTGGGTTAAAAGAGATTAAAAGAGACCTAAAAACTAAATGCACCTGTGATTGTGAACTAGCCTTTGGGCCAGAAAAACAAATAAATAAAGGGGATATTTGGAAAAATTTAAACACAGCCTGTTTATTAAAGAGTAAAATTTTAAAAAGTTATTAGTACATAATGATTACATTTATTGTGGGGAGTTGGTACAGGTACATAACACATCTTAATTCTTTTTTTATCTCCTACCTCTTCCTGTACCTTCCAACTCTTGGTCACTTTCACATTTGCTTAAGCTTGCTTTCTCTTTCTTCCTTCCTTCCTTCCTTCCTTCCTTCCTTCCTTCCTTCCTTCCTTCCTTCCTTTCTTTCCCCTTGAAATCTATGCCACTTTTTTTTTTCTTTGAGACAAGGTCTTTCTAAGTCCTCAATTTCCCAGGCTGGGCTTGAACTTGTAATCCTTCTGTCTTAGCCTCCCAGAGGTCTGGGATCACAGGTATGCACCCCATACCAGCCTATCATTGATTTTTTTATGTGCTTTTCTAGATTATTTATTTTATTTGGGTGCTGGGAATTGAACTTGGGCCCTTGTGCTTGTGAGGCAGGCAGCAGAACCCCTGAGCCAAATCCCTGACTCCCCTTTCTAGATTATTTATGCATACATAAATAAATGTGAAGTATATACTATATAGCTTTTTCTTCCTTTGCTGTACAACGTGACATATTTTATGCATAGATCGGTCCCCTTTCCTTTTCACATAACAAGGTGTCTCCCCATACAAATGCTTAAAGAACCTTCTCATTTTCCTTCATCTGCATACTATTCAACTATATGAACAGGGGTAATCAGTTTCAGGGATCCCTGGAGTTCAGTGTTCAGTGGGAGTTCACATAGGGAATTTGAAATAAAATTTTAAAAATATAAACAGACACAATATGTTTTATTACAGTATCTAATATTTTTCCTAGATTATATATTTCTAGGTAGACATATTTCTAGAATCTTCCTAGACAGTGGGTAATATTTGCTGAAAGCTCTGAGAGCTAGGGACTGGGCTTTGTGCATGTTGTTATTTTTTTAGAAACCGATGTTTTACTTCCATCAACTTCATTTCCATTTTGCTGCAGAACTGCTCAGGACCACTCAGGGGTGGGTCCTACCCACTCAGGGGCCTGAGCAGTAGGCGCCACAGACCAGTCTTCTGTGGCAGGCTGAGCGTTGAAGTCTTTCTAGGGACTCCTGAACGGGTACAGAGGGAACCTGCATGACCTCAGATCAGTCTGCAACTTCAGGCTGAATAGCAGTGAACTCAGGAGCTGGTACAACCCATTTACCCTGAGATTCCTCTTCGGTCACATGCTTTGCAGCTGCAGCCTGCTCTTCCTTTCAGCCACTCACCAGAGATGGTGCTGCATATGCTCAGAACTTCCGGGGCCAGCCTATGCATCAGACCCACCGAGTGAGCTCCCTCATTGTTGCATGGGACGGAAGCGTCCACATAGTGCAGAGGAGAATCTGTGTTACACAGAGCAGTGGTAGGCGGGTTGACATAAGGCACCTCTGTGAGGGCGTGGTGGTCGGCCCAGGGATCAGTTACCACCAGTTGCTCTCGGCTGGCTGCTGGGACCCGGTTAGTGAAGGTACCAGGAGTTAGGAGTGGCTCCAGGGGCAGCGGCATGCTTCAGCCCCGCCTGCTGGCCTGACTTCCTAGAAGATAGGACACTGACATCAGCAGGGTTTTCAGGGGCAACTATGGCTAGAGCTGCCAGCAGAGGTTCTGTTCAGATTTCTGCTGTACAGTCCATCACTCTTCCTTTTGTAGATATACCGTTCCATCTGGAAATCCAGGTTGGTGGAATGGGCTCTCGTTGCAAGGAATTTGAAGACATCTTCGTCCTTCATTTGCAGGACATCAAGGGCTCCAGAAATTGTGAAGGTTTCCCTTTAAGTTACAATAGGAATCAAGAACAATGCTGTATGGACCCTTCCTTTGGCAGCATGGAAAACACTTTGAGCCTTTTCAGCACTATTTATTTTAATTCTACCTCAGTTCCATTTTACAGATGGAGAAGTGGACTCAGAGAGGTAAAGCTGCTGGTAATTGGAGGAGCTGTCAGTCCGCTCAGTGGACTATCAGTGTCCAGTGATAGCTCCTAGGTCTGAGCTGTTAGCAGCTGCTCTGGAGAGGGACCTGTGACTGATGTTTCACAAGGCTGTAGGCCTTTTCCAGGATCCTGATGATTCTGTCATGTCTGATGGTGATGTGTGAGGAGCGAGTGATTCACCCGGTGCCTGTGGAATCTTCAGTTCCTGCTGTGTTGTGGGCATTTGGAGTCCGAAAGGGCCATGGAGCAAGTGGTAGGATGGTCAGTGCATAGATTATGGGCCTTCCCTCCACCCCTGGCTTTGTTAAGGTGTAACTGACAAATGAAATTGTGTAAATTTAAGATGGTTGATGTGATAATTTGATACTCATGTATATTGTGAAATGATTATTACAAGTGCCTTAGATACTTTCTTGTTGCTGGGACAAAATACCTGACACCCACAAGTTAAAGGAGGAAAGGTTTATCTTGGCTCACAGTTTGTAGAGGTTTCATTCCACAGTTGGCTGGTCTCAAGGCAGGGCGGCACGGCAGAAGGGCATCCCAGAGGAGAAACAGTCCACGGCATGGCAGACAGGAAGCAGTGCAGAGATCTAGGAAGGAGGAGAGATACATACCCTTTGAAGCCATCCCCACAGTGAGCTACTTCTTCCCACCAGGGTTCATCTCCCAATATCACACCCAGCTGTAAATGCATAGTGGACTAATCCAGTATAACATACCCATGATCCAGTCACCTCCCAGGAGCCCCATCGATGAGCTTATGAGGCTTTAGAGTACATTTAGATATAAGCCATAACAAGAAGCAAGTTAGTTAACATATCCTTCACCTCACTAGCTATCAATTTTATAGATGTGAACATTTAAGAACTACAGTACTCTCTTGGCCAGGCATAATGGCACACATCTGTAGCCTCAGCACTTGAAAGGCTGAGGCAGGAGGATTGCTTGAGTTTGAGGCCAACCTGGGCTACCTAGTGAGTTCAAGGTCAACCTGAAGTGCATAGCCAGACCCTGTCTCAAAAAAAAAAACAAAACAAAAACAAAAACAAAAAACTACTCTTAGCAAATTTTAAATATAAGTTATTATTACTTACAGTCACTATACCATAGAATAGATCTCCAGAATGTATTCCTCTTATACATGAACTTCTAGTCTTTCACCCCTGCCTCCCCATTTCTCCCGATTCTTCAGCCTCTGGACACCACTTTTCTTTAATTTTTATGTGTTTAATTTTTTTAGAGTCCTCATATGAGTGAGGTCATTTCCTGCTGTGCCTCTTAGTCATATATCAGCCTTCTTGGTTCTCAGATCTACTGTGTGGTATTGAAGTGCTTCTACATGGAGTTTGCTGAAATAAAGGGTGTCTGGAATGTGTCCCAGGCAGGTGAGGGGGGAACTACTGTAACTGTAATTTGATGAACACTTTAAAATAGGTGCTGAATCTGGTGTGAGACGTAACACTCACCTGCACAGAAGCTTCTGATTAGAGTCACTTACCGATCTACTGAGAACTCAGTTCTTGTAGGGAGCTGGAAGCTATGTCTTTTCTTTCCAATAAAACACCCAAATGAACAAACTGGACCTAAAGCCACTGGAGAACTCTATAAGATTTTAATGTCTAAGAATCCAAATGAGCACGTCTCTGTCCAAAGGGTATGAAAAACTAATGTGAGTATAATTATCATATAACGCGATACCAGAGGCAGGGACCAGAGCCACTGCCTGTGGAGGTGAGTTATTAATGGGCTGGGGGGAGGCATGGACCATTAACAGACTCCATCAGTCAGAGCCTGACTTCAGCAGCTTACCAGAGAAGCTCGCATGATGACCCTTGACGGTCTGAGAGCGATTGGCTGTCACTAAAGGTTGACATGCTCATAGCAGGGCGGTGCAGAGCCATCGTCTGCTTGGAGTCCTGAATGAAAATCCCCATTTAAATTTCAGATTTCAGAAGATCTCAGGGGAAAATGCTTGTGCGATGAGTGGTACGACCCGGACAACAGGAGGGGAGGAGGCCTGGGAGCTGTTGATTGATGCTGCCATACCCTCACTGCATGTGACCTGCCACAGCCTCCTCCAGGGAGCTGGCCTGTCTCTTTGATTGGAAGGGGTGGGACCACTTCTAACAGGGCATCAATAAGGCTTCAGGATAATTAAGTACCTAATTGAGTGTCTAAATTCAGCTGAAGCAATTTATATGGAATCTTGCCACGTCTGCAGTGCCTTCTCCACTTATGTCTAAGTCGTATTTTTGAAATATGTTTCTTTTCTTAAATTCTTTTGACTTACTATTACGGTGGCCTTTCACATGTGTTTGACACTGGGCAGGTTGCTATGGCCACACTGTACAAATAAAAACATAACCATAGAAAAAGAATCTGGAACTCCAAAAAAGTTAATACTTGAATTTTGAGGAGAATCAGCGAAAATCCTCAGGCACATTTTAGCAAAACTAACCCTGAAAGGAGCACTAGAAAATCTGCATTGTGGGTGACTCATTCTTGCTAGGAAATTCTTGGATTTTGGTTGGACTTGGTCTTAGTCTGGTCAAAGTGCTACAGCGCAGTACCATGACTTGGTGGCCATAACTAACGGAATTTTCTTTTCACAGTTCTGGAGGCTGGGAAGTCCAAGATTGAGATGGAGGCTGGTTCCATATGTGATGAGGGTTGCTTTCTCATAGCTGATGATGCTCTAGCTATGCCTTCATGTGGTCGAAGAGGCTTTCTGTCCCATGAGGTCCCTAATCTCACTGAATGTTCATTCCACTGTCATGATCTAATCACTGTCCAAGGGCCCCCACTTCCTGATAATTCCTTCCTGATGGTTTGGATTTGGAGGAAGATACAAATATTCAGACCAGCTGGGCGTGGTAGCACATGCCTGTAATCCCAGCACTCGGGAGGCTGAGGCAGGAGGATCACTGTGAGTTCAAGACCAGCCTGGGCTACCTAGTGAGTTCCAGATCAGTCTCAACTACATAGTGAGATCCTGTCTCAAAAAAAAAAAAAAACAAAGAAAACAAAACAAAAAACACAAATATTCAGACCATAGTAAAAATCATATACTTTAAAAAAATTATTATGGCCTTCATCAACAGACATCTTATCCTATCTCTAGAAAAAAGTTATCTTTTTTTTTTTTCAGTTTCTGTGCTTTGATTCCCACATCCAGATAGTTATTAAATGTCCACCGTATACATGGTTCTGAGTGACAGTCCAGTTCTTAATCCCAAATCTTGGTCCCCTCTTAAGCTAAATTGGGATCTGGACCTCCCCTGCATTGCAAGCCAGCAAGTTAAGTGTAGACCAGGTTTTGTTGTATACAAGGATTCAGTACTAGTGCAGGAGATCTGTAGAGTTCTGGGGAGAACCAGGAATGGTTCCATCTTGTGTGCTGCCAGTGTCTCTCAGGTCTGCATCACTCAAAGGTCTCAGAGTGACTCCCATAGTGCCAACCCTTCAGGTCAGAAATTTATGTTCAGATCCCTTAGAAGAAGATAATCTGAACAAATTAGAAGTTAACATGGAACAACATACATTTGATTTTAAAATAAGATGTAAGAATGTAATGTTGCCATTTAATGTATACATCTCTATTCTGTGTCTAGCTTTAATATAGGAAATTTCAGTCATATACATGAACTGAGGAAACAGTATGATGAATCCCACGTCTCTTGCCAATTAGGTTTCATCCACACCCGCTCCCACTGGATGATCTGGAAGCAATCCCAGACATCATCTCATCTCATCTGTAAATATTGCTCTTTGTATTTCTAAAAAATAAGGAAAATAAGAACCATTATCTTACTCATCCCTTTCTCCCTTTTGTTACTCAGCTTTCCATTGATGTGATAAAAACCTGACATAAACAGCGTGAAGGAAGGTTCATTTTGGACTTCAAGTTTCAGAGGTTTCAGTTTGTGGTTGGCTGGTGCCAGCACTGTGAGCCAAGGTGAGACAAAGCATGATGGTGGAGAGGGAGTGGTGGAGCAGAGCTGCTCATCATAAGGCAGCAGGGAAGCAAAGAGGACCAGAGCCAGAGATACAGGAACGGGCCAGGGACAAGAAATACCTTTCAAAAGCATAATCCCAGTGAGCTACTTCCTTCAACTAGGCCCTACCTTGTAATAGTGCATTTAGCTGTGAATTTATCCATGGATTAATCCATCAATGATCCATCATGATCCAGTTACCTCCCTAGGGCCCACCTTTGACCACTGCCGCCTTGGGAATCAAGTCTTCAATATATGAGTCTTTGGGACCACTTCATATTTAAACCATGACATTCCTGCAAGCTGAGCTTTGTGTCAAGGCTTGTAATCCTAGCATTCTGGGAGGTTGAGGCAGGAGAATCACAAGTTTAAATCCAGCCTGAGCTTACCTAGTGACTTAGTGAGACCCTGCCTCAAAAAAAAAAAAAAAAAAAAAAAAAAAAAAAAAAAAGAATAGAAAAGGACTGGGGAGCAACTCAGCATGATGGCCTCAAGTTCAAATCCCAGAACCCCACCCCCAAATGATCTATAATTGCTTAATATGAACTACCTTTATCCACGAGTGCTTTTTAGTTTACCTGTTATGATTAGTTTCTAGATAAGATCCAAACATGGCAACTGACTGAGAAGTTGTTTAGTTTGTCAATCCATACGTCATTCCCATTTTCCAGGTTATGATCAGGTCTTTCTCAAAGTGGCAAAGCCATCTGCTGAATATTATCAAGGAGTCATTTAGGTGTTGTATTAGTTAGCTTTCTATCACTATAAAAACAGTACCTGAGATCATCAATTTATACAGAGAAAATGTTTATTTGGGATTGTAGTTTTGGAGGTTCTACTCTATGACTGAAACAGCACCACTGCTTTGGGCCTATAGGGGCAGATCATGGTAGGTTTACAGGGTGTAGCAAAATTGCTTATATCATGAACCAGGGAGCAGAAAGAAAACAGAAAGTGACTGGGATTCCTCACAGTGTCATTTGAAGGCACACCCCCAATGATCTCTCATTAAGCCCCGCCTTCTAAAGGTTCCACTACCTCCAAATAGCCCTACACTGCAGTCCAAATTTTTAACACCTGGATCTTTGGGGGACCATGGAGATCCAAACTATAGCAGATATCATGGAATTATCATCAGTAAAAAATTTTTAAATTTAAATTATTAAATTTTTTTTTTAGTTTTTTTGAAACAGGGTCTCACTATGTAGTTGAGTCTGACCTGGAACTCACTATGTAGCCCAGGCTGGTTTCAAACTCACAGCAATCCTCCTGCCTCAGCCTCCCGAGTGCTGGGATTACAGGCGTGCGCCACAATGCCCGGCTTAAATTATTAAATTTTAACAATTCTCTGAAAGAGAATCACTTCTTTTGGCTGCCTCTTGGTCTTCTGCTCTCAGTCACATTATACCATCTTTCATTTGGTTTTTCTAGTGTTTATGTCCCCCACTATAATTAATATACCCTGTATTTACCCTTAGACGTTATAGACTGACTTCTCAGCCTGACAGATGATGGTTCAGTGTGTTCACCCCAACCCATTTTCTCCTTATTTACATTTTGTTGTTGGCCATTATGGTTACCTTTGTGACAACAAATAGCTCACTTAGACATCTGTGCCTTGTTACATCAATTTTCAGTAGTATCCTCAGCTTGTCATCAGGGGAGCGAGGCAATTGATTCCTTTAACTTGCTTTCCCTCTCTTTCTGCCTAATTTCCCAGCTTCTATTGCACGTACCCCATGCCCTTGTGTATTCAAGGTAACAACATTTACCTTGAATTTTCCTCTTTTAAATGTGTTTCCTCATCTGTCCAGACTAATTAAAAAAGAATAATCCAAAATAGAATTGATCTTATCTGCAGTAAAATATTTTTGATCATACAAATATCATTCACCTCCCCCCCCAGGACTGGAGATCGAACTCAGGACCTTGCACTTGCCAGGCAGGCGCAATGCCACTGAGCTACATAGAGTATCTTGTTATTGGTTGATTGCATCCAGGCTCAGAAAGAGTGACTGAGGATGAATTTTCTAAATCCTTACATATTTAAAGAACCCCCAGGGATAGATTGGTTAGAAGTTCTAAGGTCAACTTTATTTTACTCACATAATTTACAGGGCTAATTTCCTTAATTATTTTTACTAAGGTGCCAACGTTTGAGGACCTAGTATTTGTTTTTTGTTGTTGTTGTTGCTGGTTTTTGTTAGGAAATTGTACATGTTACTTTAAACTCCTCCATTTTATACCTGACTTCCGGGTTCTTCCTAATTTAAGTTTCGTTTTCCCAACTCAAGTTTCGTTTTCCCAATTTAAGTTTCGTTTTCCTCCCCGGGTTGAATTCTTCCCAGAAATGACGCCAACATCTGATAAGGGACTCCTGCAGGACTAAGACCTTATAAGGCAATGTGGCCTGCAATAGGTTAAAAAACAGCTAATTCCCCTAAAATTACAAAACTCCCACCCAAGACCCTATAAATGAGCCAACACTCCTTCCCTTGGTACCCGCCCCCTTTTCTTCGCCTCCCGGCCTTTGTGCCTCGCCTGACTCCCTTCAGTAAAGATCTCCTGCCGGACCTCTGGGTGCGTGAGTGACCTGATTGGGAGGGGGCGCCCGAAGGGGCACGCGCGACCCCTTTCAGTTTTTTTTTTTTTTTTTTCACAGCCCCTTTTTATTTATTTATTTCCCGGTATCAGGAATCAAACTCAGGACCTTGTGCTTGTGAGGCAGGTGCGGTGCCACGGAGCTAAAGCCTTGACCCGTCACAGCCCCTCTTTTAAGGACAGTCATTGCTTTGGCGTGCACTCGCCAAGCAAAAACAACTATGAAGGCAGCACATAGAGGTTGGGAGACAATCTGGAAAGGCTTCAGATGGTACCTTCTGTGCCTGAGACGAACGGGAGGAGGAGGAGAAGAAGACTGAGGTCCTCTTTTTAAAAATAAAACCAAGTCAAATGCAGGGCTTATCATCTATAAGCAGTCTATTCACACAGCAGAAGTAACAGGGAACCCACCAGAACGGTAAATCAACTTCACGAATTTTTCTGAGTATGCCTGCCGCCCTGGACTCTGCACACACAGAGCTGTGGAGAGCAACGGGGCTCTTGCAGGAAGGCAAACCTAGTGTTTGAACAGTGCCAAGCATTGACCCAAGGGTTTTTATGACTATGAAGTCTAACTCTTAGCCTTATGACACTGGTGATATTATTATCCACACTTTACAGATAAGGACATCCAAGCATGTAATGTCAGGTAGGATTTCTAGAACTGAGATAGGGTAGAAGAAATAAAGGTAGAAAGAAGATGGGGAAAAATTATCATTTTAAAATTGTGCTTTTAAGAAAACCGCAGCTTCAGGACTGTTATGGCTTATGTTTAGATGTTCCCCCAAAGACTCAAGCAGTGACAGGTGGGGCTTTTTTAGAGGTGGCTGAATTTAGAGTGTGTAATTGATTTGTGGTCCAACACTAGGCTCAAGGGCTCTAGGATTTAGAGTGTGAGCGCTACTCTGTAAGTAGTTTGGGGAAGATAAAAGAGGCAGAAAGAGGCTGTTAAAGTCCCTTGTTTGCTTGCTTTTGCTGTCTTCTGCTACCATGAACTGTTGCTTTTCTGCCATGAGCCGCCCTGCCTTTGAGCCAGCAGATTATGGAATAAAACCTCTACCAATTGTGAGCTAAATAAACCTTTCGTACTTTAACTGTGGATGTCAAGTATTTTGTCTCAGCGATGGAAAAAAAAGTAAGACAAGGACACAGTCAGTTACCCGAGGTGAGAATGCCTTTTTCCCTTCCAGGAAACTCCCCTGCTCTCAAATCCCTAAGGATATTTAAGATACAATAAGCCTGTAAAGTGAGCCTGAGTTGTTCCTGTCCTATGCTATAGAGCCACACATCCCGCAGACCTTCATGTTCAAGGAGGCAGCACTATTGAGCAGGCAGCATACCTCTGAACTTCAAACACGTGTACCTGGTTCACATTCTAACTAACCTGTCAGGTACTAAGAAATACAACCTGGATCACCTATTTTGAGAACACCCACAAGACCACATAAATCCCCCGACTCCAGATCCTAGCACCCCGCTCTGTGAGCACCTGCACTCCCTTCTGAGTGTACACTGTTTTTGGCCTAACAGTGTGTCCTGCAATTCTTTTCTGTGATGTAAATCAGCAAATCTACAACCTACCCACAGATCCCTTCTTCTCTTTTTTTTTTTTTTTGATACCAGGGATCGAACTCGGGTCCCGTGCTTGCAAGGCAGGCGGGGGAATCACTGAGCTAAATACCGGCCCTCCCTTCTCCTCTTTCAGCGACCTTCTCAGACCCCCTCTGGGGACAGGTCTGGCAGACACCTTCCACCTACAGCCACTGCCCTAGTGGAGGGGAGCCTGTCTCATGATTCTAGTTCCTACAGGACTCAGGAAGGAAGGCTCCCTCCCCTGACCCCTTCAGATGCAGGGTCTAACAGCTCCCCAGGGTTGCTCGCCCCTAAATACTTCTCCTCCCTCTGTAGGTTCCAACAACCCAGTCCTCACCTCTGCATGTAGTCTTTTCTTAAACCCCCTGTCCCGTAAACCTTTCCTACGCTCACCAGGGACTGTCAGCCTGGGCCTATCAGACTCCAGGCAGTGGGGACTCAAAAACAGGTTAAAATGATCGAAAGATAATAGTTTAGAACTTACAGATGATGAGGATGGAGAAAGTTTAGGTTCTTGTCTTTAGGTGATTTTATTTTTTGGTACCGGGGATTGAACTCAGGTCCTGCGCTTGCAAGGCAGGCCACCGAACCACTGAGCTAAATCCCCAGTCCTCTTGTCTTTAATTTAGTATTGAACAGCCCCATATTTTATACAAACTTGTTATAATATTGCTGTAATTATCACACTATTCATTTCACCATATTTATTTCTATTTCACATCCATGTACTAAAACAAGATCTATGCAAGACTTGATTTAGCTTTTTAAATACCCTTAAATCCTTGTCTTAGGGTTTTTGAAATATTCTAAAAACCAGTGGAAGGCCTTACTGTGGTTCGGACTGGTGCTGTTGGGTTTGGCCTGCCTGTTGGGCTTTAATTGTCATCACAGAAGCAGATTGTTCTCCGGAGTTGGAACAATTGGTCTCTGGTGAAGACATTGTCTCTGGAAGAGTTGCCATGACAACCCCTCTCTCCAAGGTAAGCATCCGAGTTTTATCACAACAAAGGGCTTGGCTTTGTATTTGGTTGGTCACCAGGGAATATTCACAGCAGGCAGGTTGTGTAGGCTCCCTTTGCTCTCTGAACCCCCCCTTTTTATTTTGAGATTTGGAGGCTCTGCTCAGGTCTCAGTGGCCACTTTCTTGCATCTTGGCCTCAAACCACGAACTTGTCTCCATGAAGTGAGATGTGTCTTCGTTAGACGCAGCGAGCTCTCTGCTGGTGGGATGTGCTCCTCGCCGTCTAACTGTGGCAGCTTCTTAGATCACAGGCGCTAAGATTTGGAAAGCGAATTTTATGCACTGGCACACACTTACTTGTGTTTGTTCTCTGTTCAGACTCTCTCTTTTCTACCCCTTTTCTGGTAATAGTGATTTGCTTTTGGTGAACCGTTAAACTGATTAGTCCATAAATGCTGCCAGGACATTAACTCTCCACTTGGGGAAAAATGCCACCTCTGCTTCCGTGGTATTCACAAATACCTGGATGGATTAAAAATTGGAATGTGAAAGAATTGCTAAGGGAGTGGAAGAAAGTAAAGGAGCATGTTTTTTATGACCTGAGAGATGGAAATCTAGAAACAATAGAAGAAAAAGAGAAAGGACCCTAATTAAAAAAAAAAAATATGTATATACTACATCATCAATAAAGTTGAAAAACAAATAACAAAATTCAAATTTATTTGTGATGTATGACAATGTTAACATCCAAAATGTATTATAGGGTGGCTTCTAAAACAAGGTAAGACAACTATATGGTTAAAAAATGCTCAGGTAGGGGCCAGGGATTTGGCTTAGTGCTTCCGCCACCTGCCTCACAAGCCAAAGGTCCTGAGTTCGATCCCTGGTACAAAAAAAAAAAAAAAAACCAAAACCAAACCAAACAAAAAAAAATGCTCATGTATATGAATCAAAGAAAAATAAGTAAATTAGCAAAAATATCACTGTCACCATCTACTGGACTGGTTTAAACCCAAACATCTAAAAAAAAAATACTCTGTGTCTAAGGGTGTGGTAGAGAAACATTTATCACCGTTGGTGGAAATATGAAATTGTACTATCTCTGGAGAGAGGCTGGGGGGACAATTTCTGTCAATTTAGAATTTCCACGATTTTTAGTGCCCGATGTTGTCACAGGGTACAAATGAGTGTGAGAATGCGTGTGAATGTCTAAGTGTGTGTGTGTACGAGACTGTGAATGTGAGAGGGTATGCATGTGTGGGTGAGGTTGTATGCCTGGGAGTCTAGCATTGCTGGGAAATTGCAGCATGGTCTTCATGCGGCTCTGTGAAGGCAAGGCACCTTCCTATTTCCATTCACCATTTGTCCCCAGCACCAGGTACAGTGCCTGGCACATGGTGGATGTTCATGAATGAAGAAATGAATGAACATCAGGAGAGATAAGTAAAAAAACAAAACAAAACTCTGAAGCGACGTTACTAAGATGTGATAGAGGTTTGGGCTAAAATATTAACAGTGCAGGAGACATGTGTCTTGCCCGGCCTAAACAAACAGGAGAAAGCAGACAGGCTGCTTTCAGCAAACAACAGCAGCTTCTCAGTGAATAGGACAAATGAACATGAAATGAAGTGTGTGACCCCCTGGTGCTGAGAAGTCCAGTGGCTGTCTGCACACCCTAGCAGACCGTCCTTGGGCATCCAAGTCATAACCATTCCTTATTAGTGTAGCCCCTCCCCCAAAATCTATCTAAGCATAGTTTTCCTTCCCTGCTAGTGGCTAGAATCTCTCTCTGGTTTTAGTCCCTGATTTTAGCCACTGTTCGCCTGAATAAACTTTTCTTTTCTCCACCACAAAAAGGCCTGTTTAAATGAGTGGATTCACATGTGCCATCTGTAACAATATGATTCACAATAAAAGATGTTCAGATCACCAATAAAGGCATGGCAAATTACTGAACTTGAAATATATAGAGAAAGAGTAGAAAAAACACAAGAATGAATGGTCAGGAGAAAAATCATAGTAGCACACATTAACACACCATTCTCAGTCTTTGACAGATCAAGTAGGAAAAACAAGAGAGAGGCTTGGTAGTAAGTTTGTCTTTGGCATCCACAGGACCTGGGGCTTGTGTATAATCATCTTAAACTCACAATTTATGAAGCTGTCACAGGAAGAAAATCTCCACCGCCATAGCAGGATGTGCTGCAGGGCATTCTTTTGACAACAGTGTAATAAAAACTAGAAATCAATTACAAAAGGTTTATTTAAAAAGTTCAAAACCTGGAAGTTAAACAAGCCTTTAAGTAACCCTTCTGTGAAGGAGGAAACCGGAACAGCAATCATGGGCTTTTAGAAGATGGAGACGTGGAAGACAGGGAGCACCTTGGCTTCTGAAAGGTGCAGGCAAAATTTTGTGCAGATAATGAGGATGAAGTGTTCTTGTTATTATAGAAGAGAGAATGCACACACATGGACTTCGTATGCCATGAAAAGCTAGAACACCCAAAGTAATGCCAAGCAAAAAATGAAAATGAATGGTGACAAAAAATAAAGAACAACAAATGCAAAAAAGAACCAGAGTAGATTTGTGTGTGTGTGTGTGTGTGTGTGTGTGTGTGTGTGTGTGTGTGTGTGTGTGTGTGTGGCATGGGGGAATTGAAGAATTGAACCCAGGGCCTTTGCACTGAGCTGCATCTTTTAAAAATTTTTTCCCTTTGCTGCTTGCCCAGGTTGGGCTCAAACTTACCATCCTCCTACCTTAGCTTCCCAGAGTGCTGGGATTACAGGTGTGCACCACTGTGCCTGGCTCAGAATGCAATTTTGAACATCCAAGGAATAGTTCTTTAGAAAAAGTTCAGAATGACTTACATTTTGGTAACACTAATCAAGAACAAGACAGAGGAAATATTGGTGAGCGGTAAAGGGTACGTAACCATAGAGATAGGAGGAGAGGCTAACACCATTAAAATATAACTGTTCTCTTTCTTACCTTGCAGTCTCCAGACAGGCTCAGCTCTCTTGGGGGCATTAAGAAGCAAGGAGCATTTTATACCTATCTTCTTCCTGTGGTCAAGGAGAAGATGTTGGAATGAAACTGGAATGACCTTAATCTTAATACGGTCCAGTCTCTCTCTCTCTCTCTCTCTCTCTCTCTCTCTCTCTCTCTCTCTCTCTCTCTCTCCGGAAATGAGTTAAGATTCCATGACTCTGGTCATTCTAGAGCTGTAGGGTGGCCATTTTCCCCAAAGGCATGGTAAGACAGCAGGAGAAGGCAGCCCTAAATGGATTGGGGAACCAGCCCAGGAGCACACAAGCTCTCACTTGAGCTTCACCTCTCTGTACTTCTAAACTGCATTGTGTCACAGAACAATATCTGAAGCTGGGTGTGGAGGCACATGCGAGTAAATCCCAACCCTCTGGGAGGCTGAGGCAGGCGGATCCCAAGTTCAACCCCAGCCTTGGAAACTTAGTGACTTAACAAGGCTCTCTCTCTCTCAAAAATTTTTTTTTTAAAAAGATTGAGGATATAGCTCATTTTGGAGACCCTGGGTTCAATCGCCAGTAAAACACACACACACACACACACACACACACACACACACACACACACAGAGTATTTGGATAAACATCAGCTCTGCGTGTGTTAACTTACATACACTGGAGTTTTTTCCTACAAATCTTTTTTAACCCTAGATGTTACTGTGATCCATGGAGAACACAGGACTAGTTCATCTAAACTAGTGGCAATAATTACTAGTGAAAGACACGGACAGGGGGAAAAAACAGGCACATTCGTGTTTGGGGGATTGTTCTTGACCCCCACTGCTGTGGCTCCTCATATCATAGAGGTTCCCTCTTGGGAAAATGGGGGACCATGCAGTTATCTAGGGCACCCAAACTTGGATAATTCATCCTTCTCACAATTCCATGGGTTGGCCAAGCTCAGCGGGGCCCTCTTCAGGGTTACTCACACAGCCTTGTTACCTGAGGCAGGCCCGATCAATGAAAGAATAAGATCTGCAGAAGAGAAAGATTTTATTCGCCAGGTGGTTAAGTACAGGGGAATGGAGAGAGGAGAGAGAGAGAGAGAGAGAGAGAGAGAGAGAGAGAGAGAGAGAGAGAGGGGGCGAGACTCACACAGCTCTC